CCAGGGCTAGTGAGGAGTCACCCAGCAAGGCTGTGGGATCTGCTGAAGGATGCAGGCACAACGAGCCTCATGCAGATGGGACCCTCCTCTGCCATCTCTCTGTGCACGCAGTGGGGTGCGGGGGTCCTGCCTTCGCCCGCTGCACTCCCCGGGAGCTGGAGCCACCTCTGCCGCCTTGACATTGTTCAGCTCCGACCTTTGAATGTTTGCGTGTTCCTCCCTATTAACATGTCTCGTAACCAAAAGCTGCTGGGATGGAGCGTTATTCCCCCCCAGCACCTACAGGTCTGCTCCCCTCATTCCTTGGCCAGGAATCAGCACCATCCCCGTGCAGGGTGGGAGCAAATGCTTCCCAGAAGAGTGAAAACAAATCCCTGGCTCACGCTCAGCCAGTGATGCCTCTGCTAGGAACAATGGGTATCCCACCCCTCAACACCAGCAAGCCCAAAGAGCTCACTGAGCTCCCAGGGCAGACAGCAGCTGCCTCTCCTGGCCAGGCATGGGGAAAAGGAGCACCTTTTTGGAGCGTAGCAGCGCTTCCCTCAGCTGCCAGGCTGGCATGCCACCCACCAGCACAATGCCAGGCCAAATTCTTTGCAATTTCTAGGTCAACACCTGCCACTTGTAATGCACCCAAGCCCTCCCGCGCCAGCCTCCAGCCCAGCAGCCCCCGTGCGCAGGATGGGAGCATCCCTGCAGATCCACGCTTGATGTCCCCACACTGCTCAGCCTAGCAGGTCCTATCTGTAACCCCAGGATATTCGGGGTGTAAGCCCACATTGCCCTGAGTTAGGTCATTCCTCAAATGCATCTGCTCACCCCTGTGCTGCCTTTGCTGCCCAGTTCTGCCTGCAGCAGCACCCACGGGTGAACTGTGTCCGGCAGGCGCAGAGCCCACAGCCTGCCCCTGCTTGTACCTTTTCTGGAGAGTTTAAAGCCCATCCTCTGGACTCAGACACCAAAGGAAGGTGCTCTCTTTGGATTTCCAAAGTGAGTTTTTTACCTTCCTG